TTGTCAAGAGCAGGAGGCGATGAGGGGGAGCTCTGCAGCTGCATGGAGCCTCGCTGAGATCCATCGCTCATGCCGGGGGCCGCCGAGTAATCTCTCACCCCTTCAGAAATAATTTGAGAAGCAAGCTGTCAAAGGGCGGCTGCAGAGAGCGGCCTCGACGTGTTCTGGACGTAATATGGTCTTTGTTTACATTAGCATGCTAACACTCAGAGCTAACCTGTACTGGAGAGAGTATGTGTGAAGAAGCAGGAAATCAAAAGGAACTCACCTTGTGGTAAACCTGAGAGAGAGAAAGAGTTTGAGCTCCATACTGTTTCAGAGAGAATCCTTGATGTGGTTTGGAACATGATATGGAGTTTCATCACGGCAGCGTTTAGCTGAGTTTCTGCTGGGAGAGTTCTCCTGCAAGAGCTCTCCTTTTTTTTTTAGCTACAGACCCGGAATCAGCACTTTAGTAACAGGCTGAAATAGAGGGGTTTGAGGCTAGAATGGGTGATCTGTTTGGTATTTTGAGCAAAACACTTCATAGACATGTTTTTTATATATTTGTATATATCTGAGACCTATAATATATGCCTAAAAATAGTATAATGGGAGACCTTTAAAGACGTCAATATCTCTACAGTTCCTACAGGACGCTGCCGGGAGTAATAGATTACATGTAACGGGATTACGTAATCAGGATACTAATAAAAAGCATTCCCTAATTGATGACAATACTTTCATACTTTTACTTGAGTAACATTTTGAATGCACAACCTTTACTGTAACAGAGTATTCCTACACTCTGGTACTTCTACTTTTACTCAAGTACAAGATCTGAGTACTTCTACTTTTACTCAAAGTACAGGATCTGAGTACTTCTACTTTTACTCAAGTACAAGATCTGAGTACTTCTACTTTTACTCAAGTACAAGATCTGAGTACTTCTACTTTTACTCAAAGTACAGGATCTGAGTACTTCTACTTTTACTCAAGTACAAGATCTGAGTACTTCTACTTTTACTCAAGTACAAGATCTGAGTACTTCTACTTTTACTCAAGTACAAGATCTGAGTACTTCTACTTTTACTCAAGTACAAGATCTGAGTACTTCTACTTTTACTCAAGTACAAGATCTGAGTACTTCTACTTTTACTCAAGTACAAGATCTGAGTACTTCTACTTTTACTCAAGTACAACATCTGAGTATTTCTACTTTGACTCAAGTACAACATCTGAGTACTTCTACTGTTACTCAAGTACAGGATCTGAGTACTTCTACTTTAACTCAAGTACAACATCTGAGTATTTCTACTTTGACTCAAGTACAACATCTGAGTACTTCTACTTTTACTCAAGTACAGGATCTGAGTACTTCTACTTTTACTCAAGTACAGGATCTGAGTACTTCTACTTTTACTCAAGTACAAGATCTGAGTACTTCTACTTTTACTCAAGTACAAGATCTGAGTACTTCTACTGTTACTCAAGTACAGGATCTGAGTACTTCTACTTTAACTCAAGTACAACATCTGAGTATTTCTACTTTGACTCAAGTACAACATCTGAGTACTTCTACTTTTACTCAAGTACAGGATCTGAGTACTTCTACTTTTACTCAAGTACAGGATCTGAGTACTTCTACTTTTACTCAAGTACAAGATCTGAGTACTTCTACTTTTACTCAAGTACAAGATCTGAGTACTTCTACTTTTACTCAAGTACAAGATCTGAGTACTTCTACTTTTACTCAAGTACAACATCTGAGTATTTCTACTTTGACTGAAGTACAAGATCTGAGTACTTCTACTTTTACTCAAGTACAGGATCTGAGTACTTCTACTTTTACTCAAGTACAAGATCTGAGTACTTCTACTTTTACTCAAGTACAAGATCTGAGTACTTCTACTTTTACTCAAGTACAAGATCTGAGTACTTCTACTTTTACTCAAGTACAACATCTGAGTATTTCTACTTTGACTGAAGTACAAGATCTGAGTACTTCTACTTTTACTCAAAGTACAGGATCTGAGTACTTCTACTTTTACTCAAGTACAAGATCTGAGTACTTCTACTTTTACTCAAGTACAAGATCTGAGTACTTCTACTTTTACTCAAAGTACAGGATCTGAGTACTTCTACTTTTACTCAAGTACAAGATCTGAGTACTTCTACTTTTACTCAAGTACAAGATCTGAGTACTTCTACTTTTACTCAAGTACAAGATCTGAGTACTTCTACTTTTACTCAAGTACAACATCTGAGTATTTCTACTTTGACTCAAGTACAACATCTGAGTACTTCTACTGTTACTCAAGTACAGGATCTGAGTACTTCTACTTTAACTCAAGTACAACATCTGAGTATTTCTACTTTGACTCAAGTACAACATCTGAGTACTTCTACTTTTACTCAAGTACAGGATCTGAGTACTTCTACTTTTACTCAAGTACAGGATCTGAGTACTTCTACTTTTACTCAAGTACAAGATCTGAGTACTTCTACTTTTACTCAAGTACAAGATCTGAGTACTTCTACTTTTACTCAAGTACAAGATCTGAGTACTTCTACTTTTACTCAAGTACAACATCTGAGTATTTCTACTTTGACTGAAGTACAAGATCTGAGTACTTCTACTTTTACTCAAGTACAGGATCTGAGTACTTCTACTTTTACTCAAGTACAAGATCTGAGTACTTCTACTTTTACTCAAGTACAAGATCTGAGTACTTCTACTTTTACTCAAGTACAAGATCTGAGTACTTCTACTTTTACTCAAGTACAACATCTGAGTATTTCTACTTTGACTGAAGTACAAGATCTGAGTACTTCTACTTTTACTCAAGTACAGGATCTGAGTACTTCTACTTTTACTCAAGTACAGGATCTGAGTACTTCTCCCACCTCTGATAAAGTACTATATATTTATAGAAACCGTGGTTCAGGCTGTATTTGATGGAGGAGGATATTGAGATGTAATTCAATGGCTGCAGGGTGACATTTGTTTCCTCCTGCCTCTCGCTGGGAGCCGTCTTCGTGGAGGATTTAACTCGATTGGCAGAGCGAGGCAATCAGGGCGGCCATTATTCAAACTGCAATGATATGATTACAACATGACAGCGAGTACACAGGCTGTTAATACCTGCTGCCGATTCATAACACGTTATTATATTCTGTTGACTCCAAATCAATCTGACAGATCCAGCAACATACGGCACGAGTTGTTTTCATTACTGATTTAAGACTTTATGGCATTAGTGAAGGAATACTTGCTTTAGTGAGATCTTCTATTATAACATATCAATAACGTATTAATATTGTCTCTGAATATGAAGGTTTTTTAATCAAATCAGAGATACAGGGTACTACTAGAAAATGCATTTCCTGCTGAAAATGCGTGCGAATGCTGTAAACAATGACTTTGTTGAAAACTTGAAAGTGAAATGTTAAACTGGAAGAGTAGGAAAAATAGTGAAGAAGCTTAATATTTAAAAGAAAATATTTAAAAAGGTATAAACAACAAAATGTATAGCCTCAATGTCCTGAAATAGCTGAATAAGTTAATAGTTGAATGGTTTCTGTAGCTGAAAGTAGGCTGAAGGAGTTACATATCAGATGTAAGTAGTGAATGAATGTGTATTAAGAAGAGAAAAGAAAGTAAAAACGCTTTGAAAAGCAGCAGAATATTTTAACTGCAAACTTTTCGACAAAAACCAAACGTCACCAATAATGTATAAAATATGTGGAACATGTTGAAGTCAGTATGAAGTCTCCATCAGACAGAAAAGAATAGGCTGAGACAGTCTGTTAAACTCCAGTCTGTGGGTGTTTCTCAATGTCGAGGACGCTTCCTTGGTAGGACATGTCCCTCCGAGTCAGGTCCTTCAGAAGCGAGGCAAGAATCCTTCCTAGCCTCGGAAAACGAAGAATGGTGGAACAGGCTAACAGGTGTGCGTCATATGCGAGGCCCCGCCTTAAATGGAGCGCGATTTCCGCCAAAAGATTTGGGAAATTGGTCCGTGCGCAAAGCATTGTGGGGATTTTAAGACCGCGGAGGATACACATGTGCAGCCTCGAAATTTCCCGCAACGAAGGACGCCGGCCTCGGTAGGATCCTGGACATTGGAACAGTCCTTCGGCGGGACTCGATGACGTAGCATCCTTGAAATAGTGGCTCTGGAGGAGCCTTCCTCGACATTGAGAAACACCCTGTGTGTTTGTGTTTGAGGTGAGGACGTTATCAAACACCTGTGTGTGTAAGCCCAGAGATCAAAGGTTACCATGGTGACGACGTTATCAAACACCTGTGTGTAAGCCCAGAGATCAAAGGTTACCATGGTGACGACGTTATCAAACACCTGTGTGTGTAATCCCAGAGATCAAAGGTTACCATGGTGACGACGTTACACAGCATTCGCACTAATTAAATCCAGAGCTTAATCACAGATCAAATGTTCGTTAAAGAGTCTCGAACGTATCGTCTCCAGTGATTGTAATGTTATGTTAAATGTCTGTTTCTTTGTTTCTTAATATTTGTCCTTGTTGATGTTGCAAATAAAAATTGAAAGAGCCCAGTCTGCTCTGATTGGTTAGCTGGCCGGCTCTGTTGTGATTGGTCGACCCCTTAGCCCCTTATCACGTACAATGTGTTAGAGCGCCAGCCAATAGAAGCGCTACAAAGCTAACTTTAATAAATCTCCTAAATTGAGTACTTTAGTAATATTGTAATATTGCTACTCGTACAAAAAGGGTCCTAGCTTCCCCTAAACTCTTTTTATTAAACAAAACAATGAGTGTATTGATAAAAAGCTACATAAATGTATAATTATAACTGAAAACTAACTTAAAACAGGTGTTTAATCCCAGATCGAATGTGCATTAAAGGGTCTTCAGTGATTGTACTGTTTCCTGTTTCTCCTCTTGATATGTGTCTCTGTTGAAGTCGGAGCTCCTGTGATCTGACAGAGAGTATTATATATATCTAATTATATATATGTTGTGTTTCTGTTTGCTCTCAGGTCTGAAGCGCAGCTACACGTGTGAAGTGTGCAGCGTCACTCTGAACTCGGTGGCTCAGTACCACGCACACCTGCAGGGCTCCAAGCACCAAAACAAGTGAGTGCACATCACTTCCTGTCAGATATTCACCTCTTTGATGTGCGTCCTCTTTTCTACTTCAGACATTTACACGTGGCATGAATAAAAGATGAGCGGGATGTAGAGCTGCTTTGCTGACGCAGAGGTTTTACATCCTGTGATTTCTCCTCTCTTCAGTCTGCAATTTAAAACAATATCCTCTAATTGAGCTGCTCTCAGGCGCTCGCTGCCTGCAGGGAACTGAGAACTTTCACAACAAACCTGCTGGATCCGTCTCTCTTACCATAAAACAACAGCTGGTTTAAGAGCAGCTGCACACAGCGTTCCCCCCCCCCCCCCCCCCAGTCACAACAGGTTCCTTAAATGAACACCGGGACGCAGGACGCTTTTCTAAATTCATGCACCATTAAGCAAATCCACAAGTCTTCCCAAACAAATGGGACCGTCTGAAAACCACTGTGTGTCTTTCTGCTCAGTTCTTTGTAAACTGTTCTTTATAAAGCAGATCTCCTGCAGGTGTGTCTCCTTACAGTCCAGATGAATTATTCTGCAGAGGCTCCAGATTGAAAATAGACCAAACTTTGGGGGTGTAGTGCTGCCGGAGCGCACCGGCACGCCGCTTTAAAATGTGCAGTACCCATAAGGAGCTGTACAAATGCTGCAGTGTGGCTGTGTCTTTAGTTGTAAGCCCAGTGGCGATCTGTTCATCTGTCACACTGATCATACAATAACGCCATCGGAAATAATATGATACAGTAAAGTACAAGTACTTCTGGCTCTGTGTGGTGTTCACGCTCCATGTGATTTGTATTCACTCACTGTAATCTTCTGGACTCTCCTTTGCACCGAAGTGTTTCTGCAGCAGTGTGAGTGTGTGTTTTTAGGTGTGAATTGATTGGCTGCACTGTGCATGTCCCTGATTTAATTCCCCCCTGTTGGCCGGTTGGACTCGGGGAGACGTGACATGGTGTTCAACAGCCAGGCTCCAGTCACGGAGGGAGCCTCTTGCTTTAAGCTATACCAACACACTGTCGCACACAACCCCCCCCCCCCCCCCCCCCCCCCCCCCCCCATCTCTCTGTCAGGGAATCGACCCGCACGCGACCCTCAGCCTCAGGCCTCAAACCCCCCACCCCCCCGAACACCAACCTACCACACTGCCTGGGGTCTATATAGGTCATTTGTTTAATGCTAGTCCACACGGACAGCAGCTGAGAGTTCCCCCGTCCACACAGACTGGAAGCAGAGACACACGAAGCCATTCATGGTTGATTTAAGCACAAACTGAAGTGGTACGCAGTTCAAAATAAAGTTTAAAAAATAAACAGCCAACATCCCTGTGCTCCCTCCACACAGAGTTTCTCTACAACATTAAAGCATGTGTGTGTCAGAAACAAAGCCCACCTGCTGCATGGTTCTCTTTCTAAGGCGTTAAAGGAAATTCAATTTTTGACTCAGGAATGGAACAAGCGGGTCGTGACAGGTGAGCTAATGAGGAGTCGGTCGATTGAGGAGAAAACTAAAAGTATCTCCTCTCTTTTTGGACAGTAATGTCGTACTGAAGCAGAAATAGCCACGTGTCTTTGTGTGTGTCGCTATTCAAGAGAAGAGTGCAGCGGAGGAGTCCAGAGATGCTGCGACTGGTCTGTTTTTATAGGTCAAATGTACGAGTAAAGTCCATTTGATATACTCTAGTCTAGCGTTACACCTTTCAGATATTAACATAGCTGCACGGTTTAAAGTGTTGCGTGTTAAGAGGTTACGTTGCCCGAAACACTGATTAAAGTCAGATCTTAGATGGGGCAGTGATATTAAAACACTCTGAGTTATTTAGTTATTGTTCTGCTGTTCTTCCTGAGAAACCCTGGGTTGACTTACCGAGTCGATGAATAGGTGTATTAATACCTTTTGACCCCATCAGTCGGGACGAAAGTAACACAATGTCAGCTTGAATTATTTATATTATCCCTGTTTTTAATATATAATACTGACGTTGTCCTTGTTATAATGCCATTTGAAGAATATTATGTAATTTATCTCGATGTCTGTGAGGAAAAACCCGACCTCTCTGTCGTTCATACCCTCGTTCTCCACTTCTGTAGATACAATGTGGTATTAAGGCTGTAAAGTACACAATGTGTCCACGTTACAGACACAGAAGAAATGTCTCTCTGAGGTTAGCAGAACAGCACTAAACTTAGCATTTATATTTATAGCCTCCCTGATTCATGCAAATTCATTTTAACGTTTCACTTCTATGTTAATCAATTTCAATTATCTTTCATTGCTTTTTTTTTTGCTGGAATATTTTAAACGGAGCAGAAGACAAACGGCCTGTTAATGTGAGCGGCGCTGCGGCAGTGCATCGGGACTCTGCTGCTGTCGATAGGTCACATCCTGACAGTCATTATGTCCCTTCACCTCCTCCAGGGATAGCCATCCATCAGGGTGTGTGTGTGTGTGTGTGTGTGTGTGTGTGGGTGTGTGTGTGTGTGTGTGTGTGTGTGTGTGTGTGTGTGTGTGTGTGTGTGTGTGTGTGTGTGTGTGTGTGTGTGTGTGTGTGTGTGTGTGTGTGTGTGTGTGTGTGTGTGTGTGTGTGTGTGTGTTTGTCCAGACTACATGCAGAGGACAGATAACATGTGATTCACATACAAGTATTGTAATGAGCTGCGTACGCTGAAGCATAGTGTGGTGGAAATGTAATCCACACTTAATCACCTTCTGGTAAGAAAAGAACAAATACAAGTTTAAACCAAAGTTGTGTTATTTCATAAAGAGTTATAGCATTTAACAGAATCTATTTGGAAGGACAGATAACCTGAACCACCAACATAGTACAAAATTCTGCGCATTTTTATTTCTACTAATGAAAGAGTTTTGGGTCGTTGTAATGTGTTTGCACCTGTCGGCCTCCCTACTTTTACACTCAAAATATCAGTTTTGTAGGTAGAGAAATATGCTAATGAACCCAGCTTATGTGTTGTTCATAGTCAGTTCCTGAAGATATCCATTTAATATTCTCCCCCTTCAATTTCTGACATCCCTTCACCTGAGGCTGCTGTGGTGGAAAGGATTCCTGACGGCTATAATGTTTTGTTTTCCTCACAGTTGAGTTTCTCCGTGACCTTTTGGCATTCGAACACTGTTAAAAACCGTTGACTTCAGAACGTCAGACACACATCAGTGGAGATGAATCACTCTGTAAACAGGGTGCATGATAAATCACTTGTTTGAAGGATTTTTTAACCGTGCATATGTGAGGTTTTTAGTTGCTCTGGCATATTGTGAGATGAAGCACTCATTTGGAAAAAGATAGTCAGGAAAAGGTCAGAGATTTCTGATAGCTGACTGATGTGCACACTTTAAAGAAATGCTGAAGATCGTCAATGCGTGTAACGCCTTCGCTTAAAATCTCACAATATCACATGTAGGACAAAGTTAAAAACCAGGCAAGTATCTGTGAGAGGTTGTTGCTTTCAAAAGTAATCTGTTTAATTTGGTAAACATGAACTGGTCCAATAATGTGGTGCAGGAATAAATACTAAAACCCATCACGCCCAACATTAGCCACCTTTAGCTTAGCGGTGGTGACGTGAAGTCATGTGACCGTGCTGTAATTCCTTTATAGTCCAACATTAGCCGCCTTTAGCTTAGCGGTGGTGACGTGAAGTCATGTGACCATGCTGTAATTCCTTTATAGCCCAACATTAGCCGCCTTTAGCTTAGCGGTGGTGACGTGAAGTCATGTGACCGTGCTGTAGTTCCTTTATAGCCCAACATTAGCCTCCTTTAGCTTAGCGGTGGTGACGTGAAGTCATGTGACCGTGCTGTAGTTCCTTTATAGCCCAACATTAGCCTCCTTTAGCTTAGCGGTGGTGATGTGAAGTCATGTGACCGTGTTGTAGTTCCTTTATAGCCTGACATTAGCCGCCTTTAGCTTAGCGGTGGTGACGTGAAGTCATGTGACCGTGATGTAGTTCCTTTATAGCCCAACATTAGCCTCCTTTAGCTTAGCGGTGGTGACGTGAAGTCATGTGACCGTGCTGTAGTTCCTTTATAGCCTGACATTAGCCGCCTTTAGCTTAGCGGTGGTGACGTGAAGTCATGTGACCGTGTTGTAGTTCCTTTATAGCCTGACATTAGCCGCCTTTAGCTTAGCGGTGGTGACGTGAAGTCATGTGACCGTGATGTAGTTCCTTTATAGCCCAACATTAGCCTCCTTTAGCTTAGCGGTGGTGACGTGAAGTCATGTGACCGTGCTGTAGTTCCTTTATAGCCTGACATTAGCCGCCTTTAGCTTAGCGGTGGTGACGTGAAGTCATGTGACCGTGCTGTAGTTCCTTTATAGCCTGACATTAGCCTCCTTTAGCTTAGCGGTGGTGACGTGAAGTCATGTGATCGTGCTGTAGTTCCTTTATAGCCTGACATTAGCCTCCTTTAGCTTAGCGAGATTAGAGATTATCCTGCTGAACTAAACGTGTTAGTATCATAAACGTAAAAAAGGTGTGGTTTTATCCATGGTATAAACATGTTTTATCCTGTCTCTCCATTATGAATACTCTCCAGTATTTCCGGTATGTAAATGGTTTATTTTTAGCTCAATAACTGGGCAGATGTGATGGTTTTATGTGGGACACTGACTCTGACTCATGCTGTGATTTGTGTTACATTTGGTTTACAGTCTGAAAGGAGTGATTGTGTTTATCCTGGTCGTTTTCCCGGAGACGTGAAACAGGACTTTACCAGTGGCGAGCCGTGACTTTTATACCACCCCTTCCCTCGAAAAAAAATAAAAATGAGTTATTACATCACAGCGTATACTTCAGCGGAAAAACAACGGCCCGGGGTGCACAACGCATCAATGAAAGCGACCCTCTACCACATCAGCAGGAGAGGACTCTTTAAAGTAGAGACACTACATACTGATATACACCTGAACATCAGCAGGAGAGGACTCTTTAAAGTAGAGACACTACATACTGATATACACCTGAACATCAGCAGGAGAGAGGACTCTT